TGAGACTCCAACTCCAAAAAATAAATAAATAAATAAATAAAAAATACTAACAAAATAAAAGGGTAAGCTGACAAATCTAAATGGAATGACATGCTCTAAAGTAAACTGGCTTGTACTACATCATAGTAACACTGAGAAACAGTTCCAGATTAAAGGTCTTAGAAATACATAACAATTAAGCACCTTAGGTGACCTTCATTTGGATTCTGGACCAAAACACTTTTAACAATTTTCTTATTTACCATTTTCGCTATAATGGACATTATGTGGACAACTGAGGAAATCTGAATAAAGTTCATGGATAATAGTACATCAGTAATTACCAACATTAATTAATAATTAAACATTTGTTTTAAAATTGAAAGTGATATAATCACTCAGGTACTAACTACATGATTGTTTATCAATGTTAAGAACTATACTGAGGATATACAAGATAATTTCTTTGTTTTAAGGAAAGACACATGAAGTATTTATGGATAAAAGAGCATTATGCCTGTGACCTTCAAACAGCTCAGAAATAATTCTATCTCTATAAAGAATGATTAAGCCAACGTACTGAAATGTTAACATCTGGAGAATCTGTGTGCGTGCATACAAAGTGGTGTGGAACACACATACAGGCTGAGTATCTCTAATCTGAAAAGCTTGGGACCAAAAGTGTTTCAAACTTGTTCCAATTTTGGAATACTTACTTATTGAACATCACAAATCTGAAATGCTGCTTGAAGCATCATGTCAGCACTCACAAAGTTTCAAATATTGGAGTATTTCAGATTTCAGATTTTCAAGTTTGGGAGACTGTCAGCCGCCAGTTACATAGAGTACATAAAGAATGGAGGGGCACATTTTAAACTTTCTTAAGACATTTTTTTGGACTGTTTACATTTCAACAAGCAAGCTCAAGATAACTTCGTTTCTTAAAAACAGCTGGTACTTTAACAAAAGATGTCTTAAAGAGAAACCATAGGCTTATAAGTTAGAAAAGCTTTCTAACTTACAAAATCTCAAAATTATAAAAATTTATCTTACATTTAACAACTTTTGTAATAACTCCAACTGTGCAGCTGGAACAATGGGCAGCAAGAGACCCCAGCTATATGGAGCACAGCACGTTCAAGTAGAGGTTCTTTAACAACTAGTTCACACATGACTGGTTTCACGTTATGGTGATCACTATTTCCCAAGAGTCTTGTGCTGTTTCCCAACTCTCTATTATTCACTCCTCACCGTAGCCCCTGGAAGTTCATGTTGTTTTAATCTCATTTTATGAATGAGGGGTTGGAGGTTCTGACAAGGTGAGTGACTTGCTTTAGAACTGAAGGCAGTTGTCTCCAAAGGTTGCATTTGTCAATGTGCAACACAGGTGCTTTCTTTTAGTCATTACTTGAAACAACTGATTTTTCTGAAAGTGTGATTAATAATAATTTTTAGTACCACTGCAACCACGTCTGTAAACAAATTTTGTAAGGAATCTGTGAACAACAAAGGACTAATACTCCAATGGGAATATCTAAGCTCTTTATTATTTAACTCATTTTTGTTCCAAATATCCTCATTATGAAGTTCAATGCCCTCAAGATCCCTGATTCAAGAATTCCAACGACAGAGTGTTGAGTGTGGGCTACGATGCCACCTTATAGGTTTATGATGAGGCCTTATTCTTCAGATCCTTTCAGAATAAACACCTTTGGACAAGGGGTTCAAGAATATAAACAGATGCCAGGAAAGTCAAGTGTTTGATAAAATAATTAAGTGCATTATAACAAACAGCTGACTTCAGTGTTGAGATAAACATGAATAGGACGAACATCCCGAAGAGTCTCTAGTCCTTGGTTCTCATCTCTCCTTGAATGACTCATTCTTATTTCATAAGAGAAAGAAACTGTCAATGTCACCTGAAAAGCAAGATCCTAAGAATAGCATCCTCTGATGTGATGTGTTCTTTGGATAAATTCAACACAGCAGGGCACCGATGTATTTCCTTTTCTTCATCTTTCAAACAGCGATAGTGATATACCTTTGTAACAGGGTTCTTATGAGGATTCAATATGATGTGCTTCCTTCAATAATGTTCAGCTGAGGGTCTGGCCTCCTTAACAGCATTATCCAATGCATGGTCACTCTTCTTGTTAGCCCCCTCATTTCATAAAATAAGAAAAATGGCCAGTAAAATATGAAGACACTCTATCTCATTAGTATTCGAGGAAATGCAAACGTATCAATGTTTATTTTTTTGAGTTGGAGTCTCACTCTGTCGCCCAGGCTGGAGAGCAGTGACACGTTCATGGACACCGCAACCTCCACCTGCTGGGCTCAATCAATCCTTCTGCCTCAGCCTTCCAAGTAGCTGGAACTGCAGGCGCATGTTACCATGCCCGGCTAATTTTTCTGATTTATTGTAGAGAGGAGGTCTCACCAAGTAGCCCAGGTTGGTCTCAAACTCCTGAGCTTAGGCAATCTTCTCGCTTTGGCCTCCCAAAGTGCTGGTATTACAGGCTTGAGCCACCATGCCCAGCTCTGTATCAATGTTCAGACAGTGAAAAGAGGTTCACCCAAACAGGAAAATAAATGCCTAGCATAACTGTGCTAGATATTTTCCCTACCAACAGATCACTACCATCAGCAAAAGGTTCAGCTACAGAGTTTCAAAAGCTCCAAAGTGTTAATGCTCCTTACTACCCATCTTGAAAGATGTTTTCCACACAATGGAAGAAGAAGGTCGAAAACATGATAGCCTGGAATTATGGCACACAGGATCAATGGGGCACCAGATCTGTGAAGAAGTCCCTTGCTTCAAGATGGGCCAAAGGAGTGCTAAATCCAGCAGTAGCTGGAGGTGTGGTGGAGGATGGTCCCCTGCAGACTGAAGGCCCTAGGCCATACCCCAACCACTGCTGCACTAACCTCTCAGGAGCAGCTGGGAACCCAACCCTCCTGGAATTTCAGTATCTCTGCATAAATCTACTTTAATTAACCTTCATAAAATTTGCAATAGCTACAAGCAGAAGACGATAATAACATTGGTCAAGACAGGAAAAAATAAAATTTTCATCCCCCAGATTGGAATTTTTTTAAAGGGGGGGAAAGGGACACACAAATTTGGTTTTTCCTGAATTTCAATATAAATTCTTCGTTCCTTATCATTTTCATGATTACACTACAAACTTACTGCATAAGTACTATATTTGTATGTATCAACTACTTCTTTGTGGTCTGTTATTAAAATATACACTGTCTACATCATAATACAGAAATACAGAGAGGTTCTAGAACAGAATCCTTCGTTATTTAAGTTGTTTAAATTAGTAAATTTTTATAGTAAAAATAAAACCTGTTTCTCAAGTCTAGAAAGTACAATTCAAATGGAGTTGACAAGTCTTAGAGCTGTGGTACTATCTGAAAATGCCACATTATCAAGCTTCTCATATGTGTTTGACACTGTGGCAAATACCAGTAAAAAAAGAAATCTTCCCTGATCTCTGTTTGTATAGACTGACCCTTCAAGGAGATGGGATAAGGCAAAAACCAAAAAAAAAAAAAAAAAAGATTCTTCCCACCTAGCATGTAATTTCCATTGCTTTAGCCAAAGAGCATCATTAAATGCATTTTCAGTCTACATAAACTACTTGCAGATTTTGCTTATTCTCTTATTTACTGCATATGTAGTATGTAACATGTACGATGCTAATAACTTTATATTCATCATTTCATTCAGTTCTTAAAACAACCCTAAGACAGATGCTGATATTTTTATTCCCATTTTAGAGATGAGGAAACTGATACCCTGAGAACTTCTATAATTCTCTCAGGGTCTGAGTCAGAACCGCACCCAGATCTGACACCAGACCTCAAGCTCTTAACCACTTTCCTCTGGCATCCTGGCTGAAGCTTTCAAAAATACACAGATAATGACCCCTACGAGGGTCTCACCTTAACTGCTATTAAGATAATTAAAAACTGTTAACTTCTATTCACCACGACTCTTCCTATTTCTGTTATAAAGAGGACAGATCCTGCTCAGGAGGGTGGAGACCAAGCCCCCAGATGAGGGACACATAGGTCTCAGTACAGGATAAGGATGGGGCAGAAGTGGTGAGAGAAGTACCTTTTCTGCAATGCCATTTTCCGTAGTGTAGATGGCCATGAGCTCGGTGTCCTCATTGTCCTGCTCCCCACTGGACGAGGCACCTCCATTGATCACCACCTGTGGAGAAACAGTTTACTTAGAGACGGTTTCAGTGTGTACCACTCTGCTGCACAGAAGCCTGTCACCCCCCAAAAAACTTTTATAGTTCTCCTAAGAGTTCCAAATCGTGTATCCTCACCTATCAAGGAAGCAAAGTTTGGGGCCTTCTTAAATGAGACTTCTGGCAGACAACACTGCAGCCATGACTATGTGTGTTTTTGATGAAGGAGAAACACACCAGATGTCCCACAATGAGGCTGCACGAGGAGGTTCTGCTGGGGAGACCAGACATGGAACGCCCCAGAGAAACCTCAGCAGTGGGATCCTGCACCCTCCAGCCAAGAGAGGCTTGGCCCTCGCTGCTGTGTTTGTGTGACTAGTGCTCAAAGCTGCCTTGGTTAATCTCCCCTCCCATGAAACCACCTGAGGGCATCTTGCCACTTACAGCCACTAGAAGGAGGAACTGCTGTTTACCTAGAGAGTAGCTTTCCGATATTTATTCTATATATTCCCCTCTCCCTGCCATTACGTGAGCTAGCCCACTGGATTGCAACCCTCCGTGAGGGGTACATCATCTTCTTGGTTTCTGCCAGCCTGTAGCAAGGACAGTAAATTATTTTTACTCTTTTGCCAAATGGTTCAATTTCTAGGGATCCATCCCAAAGAAACAATACTAAAGGCAAGAAGGGGGTTTAGCTCAAAAAAGGCAATCACTGTTTAAGTACAACAACAAATAACTCATTATAGACTATTTACACCCAGAATATTACAAGGAAAATGATTTTTATATAGTGTATACTATCAAGGAGAAATGCATATATAATAATAAGATAACTGTACAGATGTAATAGTGCAACTACATTTTTAAAATACAGCACACGTATATTTAAATGTTCAAATCCTGGCATTGGTAAATATACTAAAAAGAAGTAAAGTACAAGAGATAGCCTAGGAGAAAATATAGTACAAAATATATAAAAAGGGTATCAATAACAAAAAATACCTAAAATCCATAATAAAAACAAACAATCCAAAGGAAATGGGTAAAGGTTAGGAATATTTAAGTCACAGGAAAAGTTAGAATATATAATAAAAGCACAGGAAAAGCTGCTCTACCTCATTTAAAATTATAGAAATGACAATTAAAATAAAATTATTTTTAACATAAATTTGGGGGAAAACTTAAAAATTGAATGTGGTGTTGGAGACCTCATCTCCACAATAAATCAAAAAAACAGGCGTGATGGTGTGTGCCTATGGTTCCAGTTACTTGGAAGGCAGAGGTGGAAGGATCATTTGAGCCTAGCAGGTTCAAGCTGCAGTGGCCATGAGTGTGCCACTACACTCCAGCTTGGGCAACAGAGTGAGACTTCAACTTAAAAAAAAAAAAAATCGAAAAAAGAAAAAGTCAGTGGGAAGAATGCTGTCCTAGGGACGAGGACAGAAATAGCAGATACTTTTTTTTTTTTTTTAACTGGCGACTTCATGTTTGGATCTTATATGACTAGTATGCATTTATGTTATTGTTTTATATTACTTTTTTTTGTTGTTGAGTCAGGGTCTCATTCTGTCACCCACGTTGGAGAGCAGTTTCATGATCATGGCTCCCTGCAGCCTCACCCTCCTGGACTTAGGCGATACTTTCACCTTAGCCTCCCGAGCAGCTGGGACTACAGGCACATGCCACCACACCTGGCTAATTTTTTTTTATTGTTTGTAAGGACGAGGTCTCCCTATGCTGCTTGGGCTCAAGCAATCCTTCTGCCTCAGCCTCTCAAAGTGCTGAATCATTGTGCCTGTATATTGCTTTTTTAAATGAGTAATTAAAAGAACATACTCCAAAATACTAACAGTGGTTGTCTTTAATCAGTAGGGTCATTTTTGTCTTCTTTTTCCCTTTTAATATTTGGTAATTTTCTAAAATGAGCACAATTTATTTCTACAACAGGGAAGAAATTTATAGCGATCCTAGCAGCATAACTTGGATTGAAGCAGTCCAGAGAGGTTTTCAATTCATGTATTTGTGTAGCCAGGGAAATCAGGGCAATGGAAAATTAAATTTCTCATTCAAGGTCACACTAATTATAATCCAAGTCTGAGGTGAATTCTAAAGTATGCCAGAGATCTCAATTAACCAGTACATATTTTTACAAGGTACAATTTTCCTGTATTACTTCAAATAAAGATCTGCTTTTAAAATTATTTCTCGGCCGGGCTCGGTGGCTCAGCCTGTAATCCCAGCACTTTGGGAGGCCGAGGTGAGTGGACTGCCTGAGCCTGTGGGTTCAAGACCCGCCTGGGCAACTTGGCAAGACCTCATCTCTACAATAAAGCAAAAATTAGCCGGGCGTGGTAGCGCGCGCCTGTAGTTCCGGCTACTTGGAAGGCTGAGGCAGAAGGATTGCCAGAGCCCAGCAGGTCGAGGTTGTGGTGACTGGGAAAGTGCCACTGCACTCCAGTCTGGGCAACACAGTGAGACTCCAACTCAAAAAAAAAAATTATTTCTCCATCATACTAGAACTTTTCACACAAGCCAACTGGGTTTGTGACATTGGTTTGCCTGTAAAACTAGCAGCCGGCAGGATATACATTCCTGGCCAAGTTCAGGTTCACAACGCGAAACTCTACTTGCAATAAGAACCATACTTCAAGTCATATCACAGCAGTACTCAGCCCACTGACAAGCCAAGAGGAACAAACACTCAGGATGAACTCTCTTAAAACAATGTTTAGTTACTAAATCAGCAGAGAGCCAGATCTGATTTAAAGTCCTATGCTAGCTTAAAACTAACCTTCACCAGCATGCAGCTGACTCCTGCAGGAACAACTGCTTCGTGGCATACCAAGTTTCCTTTAAGGGTAATGAAAATGTTTTGGAACCCAAAGGAGGATGTGGTTGCACAATATTGTGAATGTGTTAAATGTCACTTAATTGTTTACTTTAAAATGTTGAATTATGTGTTATGTGAACTTCAACTCAATAAATTTTTTACACATGTATACATGGCACCAAAGAAGCCAGATTTTAGAAGTCAGCAAATTACTACTGCTTCCCTGACTCATTCCATTCACATACTTATATATACACACTAAAATAAGTAAGTACAACCTTTCTTGCTCCTCAGCCATTTTGGCAGTTGCTCTTGGTTGGGGGCTGTCCTGCACCTAAGGGAGGAAAACAGTGGCCACAAAGAAGACAAAAAATCACTGGAGTCCATCAACTCAAGGCTCCAACTCGTTATGAAAAGTAGAAAGTACACACTGGGGTACAAGTAGACTCTGAAGATGATCTGACAAGGCAAAACAAAACTGGTTCATCCTCACTAACAACTGCCAGGCTTTGAGAAAACCTAAAATAGAGTACTGTGCCATGTGAGCCAAAAGTGGAGTCCATCACTACAGTGGCAATAACATTGAATTGGGCAAGGGGCACGGAAAATACTACAGAATACGCACACTGGCTATCATCGATCCAGGTGATTCTGATATCATTAGAAGCATGCCAGAACAGGCTGGTGAAAAGTAAACCATGCAAAATTGTTCTTTATAATAAAACTTGGAAGAGTGTGTTGTTTTAAAATAATTAATTAAATAAAACCATACAGATGATCCCTGGTGCGTGCTCTGGACAGTCACTCTGGCTGCAGCGAGCATGGTCAAGTGTGGTGAAGTAAAGTGCTGACCCTTCGGGACAAGAGGAGGCAGTGGCTAGGCTGAGGTCTGGGAATGGTAGTCTGCTTTGAGAGAGGGCAAGGAGGTGGACTTCATGCCCCCTAGAGACTGCCTGGATGGGAGCTCAGTGGTGAATGCAGGGGGAGAAATCATCACGGCAAAACAGGCAACATCCCAGCCCTAGACCAGATGCTGGGAGAAAGGCAGTGAAGTGTCTGGGCCACTGTTCAGTTTTCTCAGCTAGGCAGCTAGGTGGATGGAGGTGCCAGTGTAGGAGGGGCAATTCAAATTGTATTGGGTAGGAAGGGCAGAGTGTTTGTAAGCCAATTCAAAATGTGCTTGACTCATCCCAGAGACAAAGCTGTACTTTCCCAGGCTACTCCAGGAAATATACTGAACTGTAAACATTACTGACCTAGATAACCCATGATTCCTAATGTATTTGCATAGGTCAAGCCATCCTGAGGACCTCAGAGCTCACCTTCCAGTGTGTCAATCTCCTGTTACAGAGCTGAGATGCAGTCGATCTGCCTCCCCTTGCCCATGTCACCCTCATGCCCTAAGGAAGGCCATAAAAAGCAGGGACACCCACAGGAACTGCTCACGTCTGACCGGCTCATCTCTGATGTGTCTGTGAGCAGGTAGCTGCCTAAACACTTCTCACAGATGAAAAGTTCTGCTCAAAGCACTAGTCTATTTTATGAATCATTTTCCTTTGGTTTATTAAAATAGTGTCATAGTGGTCTAGTTTTTAATGCAAAAATTTTAATTTAAAAAACCAAATGGCAATGTCAGTTCTTCAGGAAACAGATTGAGCATTTTTTTTTAATGGGAAAAGAATAAAAAATGGAACCTCTAAATATCATTTTAACTGGGAAATAAAACACGTATTGGAAAACTTTCTAAACTTAATAGGTCTTGTTTCCTTTTGTTATTAATAGACAACAGGGAAGAATCTTGGCATCTTTTCTCTCAGGAAGTATTTATAAAAATATCAGTAGATTATTATAACCCTTTTGAAGAAAAGATGTCCTTTCGTCTCCAAAACTATTTCAGGAAAAGATGTCCTTTGTCTCCAAAACTATTTCAAACCAAACTGTGGCCTTAAATTCTGTCTTTTAACCTAATACTGCACAATCACTTGATCACCTGTAAAAGCAGGTTTTCTCAGCCTAACCAGATAATTTTGTCTGTCTCCAATATGCAGGGCTACTGTGACTTTGAACATGAAAGTATGTTTGGTTACTCAATAAATACAATGTCCTTTTTGCTCAAATGTTTTACTTCTACTAAGCTAAGACGATGGTGCTAAAGTATTTCTAAACAAAATTCTCCTGAGTTGGCTA